CATCTCTGTATCGGTTATCGTATTGCTAAAAAATATCGATATATACCGATTACCGATATATTGATCCAGCCCTACCTCGTATACATATAATTTTTCTCCAACACTTATTTGTATAGTTAAATTTCTTTGTTTAAAAAAAGTTTATGCAATTGACACGTTGTAAACAAGTTAGTGACACCCTTTCCAATCTTTTTCCTTCTTATCAAACATGTATATAAGATAATAAAAACACATACTAACACATCAATACAATATTCGTTCAAAGCACAAAAATCCTTACAATTAAGTGTACTGCAACGCCATGGGTGTATTGTACAGGTATAAGGTTTTGAGACCTGGTTTTATTTTTTTCGGCACGCAATGTAAAACCTTAGACGTAAATAAGGCATTAGCTATTCCTTCGCCGAGTGCCCGGCATCAGAAGTGATTTCAACTCACGTATACCTTATATACTGATGTGCTTCCTTTTATTTTCACTTTTAACTCTGAATGTATTTTTTTTTCAGATTCGTTTTGAGATCGATTCCAGTTCATTGTCTTAACCTTTCTTTTTTGTGGTAACATACACAGATTCAAAAAAGCATGAACCCGTTATTTCCCTATCATGACAAGGAGCACAAGGTGGGTGTGACCGGTCAGCAGGGGATGCTCACTCCTCCATGGCACATGATCCCACTTCTGATGTTTTGGAGGTCCATATTTGCTTTGCTCCTATTTTGTATTGTTTTATGGACTTTGTTATTGAATACTGTTCGTTATCTCCCTATCCTTCTGAACGCTGAGCGAAGTAAAATTCAATACCTTTGTTATGGTCTTTGGTTTAAAAGGGCGCCGGGAAGGAGAATCCAAGCCGGTGCCTCCAGATCGTGAAACATCTCCCCCCCCCCTTCTGAATAACTTAATGCAGAAGAATATTTTATTTTTTTATTGCCTCTTAACATTTAATGCGATATTTCAAGATCTGGTCAATAATTACTTTAGTACAATTTAAAAATGGGTCAAGATCTTCTTTATGTTTGGTCCATCCTTTCGCAAGCTCTCATCATCAAAGATTATAGAATTTTTTAATGGTTGATTTGTAACGAAATATCTACATATGTACGTGTCATGGTGCTTGTTTGTCAATAGCCTGTCTCTTTAAGAAGAACTGAGAACGTATTGTTCTTCCCCCCTACCCCCAAGTCAATTTTCAACCTTGAAGATATTCGGATGATTTTTTATATTTATATTGATATTTATATTGATTTATATTGATTTTAATAAAACATTATTCCTTTGGGAAAACAACGAGAGATAACTCTAAAATTTTGGTAAAACTCGTGTTTTTCACTAAATAAGTTAATGAAAAACGGAAAATAATTTGAAAACATCTCCCCCCCCCCCCCCCCCCAGTGAAAAAAAAATCCTTTTTACGGCTAATTTTACAAATTCATTTAATCACATTCAAGACTATTTCAAAATATGATGTTGCTTGAAAGTCCGATATCATTGGTAAAGATAGTCTACCACCCTTGTTTCAAGAGCAAGAATTTCGGGATAATTTACAATTGAGCTTTGGTATTAAAATCATTAATCAATTACCATTGAACTGTTCTTTGTATATAAGAAAAATTTTATGACTAGATTGCAATTAATTTTGTATTAAATGGGTGCAAAATGTGGGGCGGGTATCTGAAGGCAGCGTGCGTACTTTTTGGTCATTCTTAGATCAGCTCGTACGTAATGAATAAATTGTGAGACATAAACCATGTACAATTCAGGTGATTAATGTAAATTGCTACATAAAATAGAGAAGTTGACGATAGAAAATCTGACTTTATCTAATTTATCATGAAGTGTTGTTGATATTTGCCATCGATGTCATTTTGTAGTAAATAGAATGTGTGGAGATAACGAACAGTATTCGAGCTCAAAAATCCAGTTACTGTAGATTCCTTATTTTTGGCGAGTAGTTTTTATCGCGAATTTGGTATTTAACGTCAAATCACGAGAATTAGAATTCGCGAATGGACGGTTGATCAACAGAATTAACATAGATTTCAGTACCATAAAATTAAAAGCGAGTAATATTTTTTCGCGAGTAAAGCTTCACGCGAAATTACGCGGAAATTAATTCCTCGCGTATAATTGGGAATCTACAGTAATCATCACAAAATAGGAGCGGAGCACACACTGACTTCCAAAACATCAAAGGTGGGATCAGGTGCCATGAAGTAAAACATCTATACAAAAACAGATGTGTCAAACTATGCGCTGTCTTGTATATCGAGTTATGGGATATGTCAAATCAAAGTCAAAAATTGTTAATTGATTGAATTTGAATTAGAGGCTTCAGCATGAGAAATCTTTTTAATATAGAAGTTTTTTAAAGCTTATAAACAACAGGACACAATAGGCACCAATGTTTTTTTTTTTTACATTAGATTAATGAGAGACCTTGTATCCAAAGATTAAATACATGTTGTCAATGAAAACTTAATCGTCTTTTTAAAATCAACTTAGGAGTACGTTCCGTGTTATACTTAACAATTCAAATTTGTAAAATAATTTCGAGTTTTGGAATGTTAATATATTGGTTTAAATTTCTAAATTTAAAAACTTCATACTTATTTGGTATATTGAAATTTTAAATTTAAGTTTAAAATCCTAAATTTCCAAACAGGTTTTGGATTTTTTAAATTTTTAGATTTTTACCTTAAACATTCAAATCTCTAATTTCAAAAACAAATGTGTTTAAACTTTTGAGTTTTTAATCTACCGTTTGATTTGAAAGTTTACGCTTCAGTTTAGTACAGTTTTACGACTTTTGATATTTCAAAATTTACTTCAAACCTCTAAATTTCAACTTTCAAAAAGTTTAAGATTTTTTGAAATTTAGAATTTTGATTCAAACATTCAAATAATCAAACAACTTTTTTTTTAGCTATTTACTTCAAATATCCAAATTATCAAATTCCAAACCTGATTCGAATTTTGAAAATTTTACAAAAACACTTTTGGTTAAACAAAAGATCTTTTAGATAGTTAGAATATTGAACTGATATTCAAAATTCAAAACGGTTTTTCAAATTTGAAATTTTGGATATTTTAAGTAAAATTCTAGGTTACTAATTTTCGCGACACCTTATTTTCGCGAGATAGTCATTGACTCTTGATTAGCGAGACATAATTTTCAAGAATTGTGGCTATTGCTCTATTAAATCTTAAGGAATACTATTATACGCGAAAATTAAATTTTCGCGATCAAACATTTGAATAAATTCCTACAAATCTCAACCGTTTAAAAGTTGATTTTAGAAGTTGGAAGCTAATTTTAAATGATTAAAAAACGGCAAATATTACTGAACTATAGAAAATATATGTTAAATGTAAACTTCCTGAACAAACGGTAGACTAAAACCTCCAACATTTAAATTACAAAAATTGTTTTTTGAAATTTGAATTTTGATTTTTTAAGGTAAAAATCGAAAGTATTAAAATTTCAAAACCTGTTTGGAAGTTTGAAAATTTTTATTTTGAACTATCGTGTTAAATTACAATATACCAAATCAGTTTGAGTTTTTGAAATTTGAACTAATATATTAACATTCTTAAACTAAAAAACATTGAAGAGATTTGAATTGTTAAGTGTTACACGGATCGGGGTACTACTTCAATGTAGAATCAGAATTTTTTTTCGCAAAATAAGTTTGCTAATACAAATGACGAAATATTTAAATGATATCCACGATTATTGACGAAACAATTATCGTTCCTATCAAAAAGTCTTTTTTTTTTTAATTACACAAGTCACAACGCCTACCCCAATATAAATTGTCGGAAGGTGGGAGAAAACAAGTCAAATGTTTAAAGATCAGACAGGGCATTACAGTGATCAGAGTAAAATCGTAAATACCATTTGAATTTTGTTTTGTTGTGTATTTTGTAAAAATAAAAAAAAATCTGTGTAATTCTTTTGTATAATTTCAAACTATAATACATTGTATAAGTTTATCATGAAAATAAAACGGTCAAATTATTATATGTGATAGTTCCTGATGGGTTATTTTTCATTATAAACCAAAAGTTGTCGATTACCATACGAGTGACAGTAAAGCAGGGAAATCATTTCGAATTATTCAAAGGTTTCCTTTGAACTAGAGTGCACAAACAGGGCTTAACATTTACACAAGAGATGTAAAGCGTGTCATATACATTTTCAAAGGATATTATTCCTGTTTTATAAACTCAATTTTCTATTCTTCCTTGTTCCTGAATGCTTCAGAAATCATTTAACAATTCGCAGGAACTCGGAAATTTCAGAATTGTTGTATGAAATAAAGTTACTTCCGTCAATTAAGTAAGTTTTTGTTTAATTTATTCTAAAGATTATGTTAATCTTTTTCACAAATAATAGGTAAAAGTTATAAATACTTATAAATCAAAATACTTATTCATTTTACACCGTGAGAAAAAATGATATCTCATAATTTCAAAAACATTTTAATTACTTTCAAAAAAAAAAGAATGACAAAAGGTATGTTTGCCAAGTCATTTTATATTTCTTGAGGAATGTTTAATACTAACTAGTTTTGTCTGAGCTGACTTTCTTTGAAAATGATGTTTAATGTTAAATGACGTTGTAATACCATCGCGTCAAACAGATTCCATTTAAATTTACATATCACTTTTTGTTAGTCCATTATTTATACCCTGAATTGACAACGATTTTTTTTACGTTATTTCCTGAACATGACAAGGAGCACACGGCGGTTGTGACCGGTCGGCAGGGGATACTCACTCCTCCATGGCACCTGATCCCGCCTCTGATGTTTCGGGGGTCCGTATTTGCTCTGCTCTAATTTTGTATACTGTATACAGGGAAATTTTCGCCCCCGTTTTATTTTCGCCCCTTTCGCCCTCTTACTGATTGGGCGAATTTAAAACGGTGCGAATTCAAATAACACAGCATAATTTTTTTAACAAAACTATGACTGGGCGAATTTAAAACGGGGCAAAATAGTTCTCAGGTGCAAAAGGGTGAAAATAACACGGGGCGAAAATAACCCTGTATACAGTAGTTTTATAGACTTTGAGACTGAATACCGTTTGTAATCTCCATATCCTTCTTTGATTAAATGACAACAAAATCATATATATTTATGAATGATGTTTAAATGGATTACTTGCTATATGAATCGCTCCCAAATTATCCTCGTATTACATTAATTGTATATTAATTGAACCTTGATGAATAATTAGGTACTAAAGGCTTGATTATTTCAGTTCAAGAAAATGTAGCATATTATTTCAAATAAAAATATAAAATAAATACATTGTTCTTTCATTATTTACCTCGACCCCCCCCCCCCCAGTTTTCACTCTCTTCATCCGTTTGCAAAAGCTGTGATTTAATATTTTTTGGTTTGAGTTTTGATGATAGATTCCGTGAGTGCGTGGTTTAGATTAAGTGTATCGAATTTTTTTCTGTTTTTAATTACTGTAAATCAATTTTTTCGCGAGAACTTTATTTTTGCGTAATTAAACGAGACAGTGTACTCACGAAAATTAAATTCTCGCGTATAATAGTATTCCTTAAGATTATATAGAGCAATAACCACAATTCGTGAAAATTTGTTTTGCTAATCAAGAGTCAATGACTAGCTCGCGAAAATAAGGTGTCGGGAATATTTAGTGATCTACAGTACCGATTTACCATCAACATTCAATTTTGTTTTTTAAATACTGTACTGTAAAATTCGTAATCTTACAAACCCTCAACATTTTTATTTTAGTAAGTCGAATTAATTTGCCTTTCTCAGTTATATAGCCTTCAGTAGATTTACGTCTCAAGTAACTTAGCTGATCCTCAGATCAACGACTGAGCTGTAATTAACCTGAGCGATAGGAACCTCACCGGCCATAAGTATTTCTAAGTTTGATTTATCAGACTAAAAGCGTAAAAAATGAGTACAGTTTTCTATATCAAGATATTTATTTGTTGAATCAAATCAATGGTTCTCCAAAAATTAGTACTTTATCATATTATTCTTTTCTTTTCGATCATGGAAGATGATGAAACAAAGAAAGAACTTCCTCAGGAAATTTCCCATGGTGATAAAATCTTTAAGAGGAAAATATAAAAAAAAAACCACCTTTATAAGCAATAAAGCACATGTTTTACTTATTCTGTGATCATAGGCTTACTTAAACATACAGAGAGTAACTCAGACATACTTCTAGATACCAAGATGATCGCCTACCTCCTCCTTGTCGGAGTTTCTGTCTCTGTAGTCCCCGGGACCGTCTCCAATTGTTGTTTGCCACTCCAGGTCCAGACATACATGGATGTTATGACGTCAGGGAGTCCAAAGGAAAAACAATTTAAGCAAATGGTAAGGAGATAACAATACTGATAATAATATATAAATACTATGACGTTAAAGACAGTAAAACGTAAATATTTCGGTAAAATTAGATATAAAGACACGCATAGCCTAAACTTTATAAGAAGATAGCTTGCAGAAAAAAATGTATTTTCAATTAATTATACAGTTGATATTAATATTTGTTTGAAGTACAATTATGATTCTAATACAATCTAATATACAATAGCTGCACTGTTTGTCATAGATGTTTTCCTATGATGCCAAATCCCATAAAACTGCAAGTATTTATCTTACTCAGCCTGAGGGATACGAAGTCAACATTATACAAGATTTCGCAGCAGTAAGTAATAAGATTCTTATTTCTTATAATATCATGGTTGAATAATATTAGCTATTTCCTACAAGATAAACGATGTACCTTTCACGATTTTCAATAAAGTACAATTTTAAAAAAAACATTTATGGATTATTTTAAACTCTTCCGCGTCATAGAAATTATACAATTTGAGAGCAAACGTGTGTGATTTACACACAGTTAAACCCACACATTGTAAAACATTCCTTATATTCAAATTCAAAACCTACATTATTACACTCAGTACTTTATTTTTTTTGTTGGCCTATTTTTGATACATTTCAGTAGTTTCAATGGTACGTTACTTAAACTATCGTTTTTCTGTGTATATTTCTGTGTATTGATTTACATCAAAAAAGCATTTCTTTCCATTTCATAGTTCGCTTAGTAATAAAACTCAGATAAAGTAAATATTACTGTAGCAATCAAAGAGTCACAACTCTCATAAAATTAAACTGAAAAAAGACTTCAAATATGAAAAATAACAGCGAAGATTTGTGTTTCTTTTCCAAAAAAATTAGATTCCTAAATTTGTCACCATACCGAGGTATTTGTAACTCTGGTACATTATTGATTTAAGGAAATAATACCTTATGGACATTATATGCAAACCAACCATATATGCCAATGAACTCATGACAAAAATGATTTCACGTCCCTAGAAAATGGTTTTGAGAATTGATATGAAAAATATATCAAGATGGAGATTATGAACGATATTTGAGCTAGAGGTCTATTTAAACAATTCGAATCGGGAGCAGAGCAACACGGAGAAAAACAAAAACCAGAGGTGGGATCAGGTGCCAGGTATGAGTGAGTATCCCCTGCCAATCAGTCGCACTTGTCGTTTGTTTCTTGTTCTGAAAAGAAATAAAGGCGGAAGGAAAATCCTTACAAAATTTAGTGTGTAAATAATGGCGGAAACATTCGCATGAAAATGTCAGTCAGCATATAAATAAATGATAGGTTTTATGAAACATATGTAAATAATGAACAGTAATCAAGAACAATAGTCCAATAAACAATAGAAAATAGGAACAGAGAAAACCCAGACCTCTGAAACATCAGAGGTGGGATCAGGTGCCATGAAGGATTAAGCGTCCTCTGCCGACCGGTCACACCCGCTAGGCCTGATGTGAATGATGTCACAGTCCGCCTTCTTTTTAACATCTCATTGACTAACTTAATATTGATTTTTTGGATTGCTAAGTAAAAAGATTTATGTTAATTTCCTTTACAAAAAATATATCAATGTAGCGATATATAGAATTAAAGATATATAATATTTCCATTCTCTCATTAAAAATGAACGTAGAACTGTTCACTATATTGATCAAAGGCCTTTAAAAGAAAAATGAAAATGAAAATGAAAATTTCTTAAATAATAAAACAATAATACAGTGTATTATATCCATAGAAATATTTCCTGAATTGTGAGATATAATGAAACAAAAAAAAATTAGTATATGATTTTGTTTTTCAGGGCAAGCTATATAACTGGAATCGAGATACTTGTCAAGTATCTCCGAGCGGTGCCTTTTACAATATATGTATTCCAGGTCAATATATATTCTAAGCTTAAACTACTAGTAATTTAATCTGTTTTACTGACATCTCTCTCTCTCTCTCTCTCTCTCTCTCTCTCTCTCTCTCTCTCTCTCTCTCTCTCTCTCTCTCTCTCTCTCTCTCTCTGTATGTGTGTGTATGATGCGTATTTGTTTGTCAATATTGAGAAAAAACAAAAACAACCTCCGTATGAGAAGTATAATTCAAGATACTCTGCACAAAAATTGTTTAAGCATTGCTTTTGGTATTTAATATAATATGCAAAAATGAACTTTAAAAATCCTTTCAAACATTACGAATATGGAATAGAGGAAATACCGACCGCAAATAAGAGGTGGGATCAGGTACCATGGAGGAGTAAACATCACCTGTCGACCAGTCACTTAGCCTGTGACCCTTGGAGAAAAAATTGGGAAAAGACGTTAAAAATTTCAATCAAAATAAGCCCAAAAATCATTAAATGACCACAAAATTTGCGAAAAATTGAACTCAAGCAAGGCTGTTGTAGTCATTGTATCATTAACTCTTTGTCGATAGTTTTCCTTGTTTAAGAAATTGCTCGTATGTAGAGAATGCTTTTGTGTTTCAATTCTTCTCCGAAACATAAACTCTCTTTCAATGTTAAAATGGGATATACATGTATCTACATTATAAGGGGGAGTGGTCGGAAGAAAATAGTCTTTTTACTTCCACCCCTACAATACGAATGATCATGCTTTAAATGGATCAGTTTTTTAACCAAGGCAAGTTATTGACACATAAATGTAACAATGATTTCAACAATCCAAATCAGCTTTTCACAAATTTCTACCGTTGTTAGCATAGCCTTGCTTGTAAAATACATCCTATTGATTACTTGTATTTTATCTGACATATTTCATACCATTTATTTTGTATGGTTTTTGTAAAGGATTTGACTGGGGAATTCTGATCAATATATAACGCTAATGGCGGGTGTGATTGGTAACAGGGTTTGTTCACATCTTTTAGGCAGCTAATTCCATCATGTTTACAGCAGTCCGATTGATTTTGCAATGTTAATTTATATGTTTTTATGAGATTAATCATTGTTCGATTAACCTAGTAAATTTATTGCTTGAGAAATTGTATCTTCTTGTCATGAAGATAAGCGAATGAAATAATGAAATATATTTGCAACACCTTGTGTTTTTCAGCTGAAGCTAAATCTGTACAAAAGACTTTCATGGGAGTGTCTCCAGACATTATTAACTTGGACACCTATATGATTTCGCAGAATAATTTCACATTTTTCTACAGAGTCGGGTTAAACTGTGCCTATGTTGAAATTGGTGGATTCTCGTCGAAGATTCCTCAAACTGGTACAACTTTCCTTAAATGACTTTAACAAAAAATGAAAAAAAAACAATCGTTTTATTATTTACTTACAATTCATTATATTTCACGTTTCCTTTTCTTCACAGATGTGCAGCTGTTGTACGTCTTTTACAACACAACAATGGGAATCAAAGATCCATCTGTCTTTATTCCACCAAAGATGTGCTTCAAAAATGTGAGAATTGTTTTATTGCTTGCAGACATTTTTCGTATACGTGAAAATATTAAAATATATTTTTATTTGTTTATAAGGTGACGTATCATTGTTTTTGAAAGTGGGTGAAGGGGGAGCAGCTAGACAATAAAAATCAACTAAAAAAAATTGTATTAAATCGAAAATCATAATTCGTGGGGGTGAGAGCGATAGGGACGAGGAGTGTGTAACTTTTTCGGTACAAAAGTTTCCACGTTATCCTTACTTAACTTTATTTAACTGCAACAAAGGGATGGGGAGCATCTTAAAAGATAAAATATTATGTTTGGAAAAAGTGAAGGGGCTATCCCCCTTCCGATGCTATGTTTTTGTTGTATAAAATGTTAAATTTGTCAAGGTCTGCGTGAGTGCATAATACAGGAAAGCAACTATATTTCATCTGTTATCAACAGTATCTTATTCCGTCTGTTCTCCACTGTATCGTATATATGAGGTCGTTAAGATTTTCTATTTTATACTCTTTATATTAATCTCTTTGCAGGTCACAAAAATTGACAGAAAACCTTGTTTCCAGACAAATCACATCATTAATTATCTTGAAGATCCAAATCCCTGTTTTCCTTGAAATTGTTAGAAATCTATCTTCCTTTCTTGTATATAATGTTAAAATTAAAATTGACTAACGAAGCAACTTAACATGATGAACATTTTTCCAAAACCATTTGTATGTAAAGTCCATTCAATCATACCACAAACCATTTCATCCTTTTTCACAAATTCCCAAAATTTATATCATTCTTTGGTAATAAAGTTTTTTACTCCTTCTTATATTGAATCATGATTGTTAAAACATATTTAACAACTTTCACCCTAACCCAACATCTTATTCTATACCTCATCCAAAACAATAACTACACCTAACCCTTTGTTTATCATCCTAGTTCATTTTCATATACATGCAATTGATTAATCAATATCGACGACACTTGTCTTATAAAATTATGTTATACCTTATTGTGAAAATGCATTGTATAAATAGGATCAATATCGATACGAATCATCATGGTATTGTCGATATCGACGACATCGACATAGCGCCAAGTCTCATATGTATCAATTATTTCCAAGTAATAATGCTGGTCAGGATCAATATCGATACGATATCGACATAATATTCCCGATATCGTCGAAATCGACGTCAAATTGGTTCTTGGATATGTATGTTCATATGAAGCAAAATTTGTGCAACATCTTATTCGTGAAAAGAAAAAAAAACACTTGCTGTGGCCTTCAACTCGACATTTAGATATATAGACGACGTACTGTCAATTAACAATGGCAATTTCCATTCTTATGTCGATACGATATATCCCGGTGAGTGTGAGATAAAAGATACCACAGACTCTGACACATCTGTTTCATATTTAGATATTTTACTTGAAAAAGACGTTAATGATAATCTAACAAGCAAGCTCTATGACAAACGTGATGACTTTAACTTTTCTATCGTCAACTTCCCTTACTTATGCAGCAATATGCCTTCATCACCTGCATACAGATCTAGAGTATACCTATCTCAGTTTATTAGATACCCATGCCATGAGCATTCTCTACGTATGAACAATCTCTACAACGACGTAAATTATTGACAAACAAGTTAATGAATCAAGAATTTCAACAGGCTCGTTTAAAGTCATTATTTTGTAAGTTCTATGAGTCAACCTGATATTATGACCACTTCAGCAACTACAATTTACCATTTTTTCATAGTAATTGTTTGTCTATTATTTATACGACGGATTTCCCGATCAGGACAAGGCGCACATCGTGGGTGTGACCGGTC